AACCCCCACCCCAAACCCAGAATTGTATTCTCCCACGCCTACATCTTGCTTAGTGCTGTACCTCCGAATTCTTTTTAAAAAATGTTTCGCAAGGTCAAAGCAAGTTATATTCAGACACTGTGAGTTTTGGAAAACGTAATATCCACCCAAAGTTCAAGCCAGGTTCTCAACACTAACTGGCAAATTCCCAGGTGAAGTACACAACTTATATATAATTTGATAAAGTAAGAGTAGTCTTCCATTTATCATAACGTTGCTCTAATTTTGCTTTGTAACTTTTTTTCTTATAATTCATTGTAACCCTTTTTAGCTTTTGCCAATTGTTAACTCATTCTTTTCAACTTTGTTACATTTTTTATGACACAGCACGTACCCTGGAACGCCCCCTAGTGCAAGAGCTCGGGTCTTCAATCCGAGCAAGTAGGGGGAAAGTAATACGATACGAGTGAAAACCGCGAGGGTTTCTATACGGATGAAACCATTGACCTCTGGAAGACAAGGCTAACGGGGCCAGTGTGAGTCGCTGTTTATTCTGATGGAAATATGGTCTTGTGTTGGACATAGCTAACTTACCTGGAGGGAACAGTTTGGTTGATATGTTATCTTATATTTACACACAGATGTTCCTGCTCTCTGTCCTGGCCTATACAACTAGGTGAAAAGCCCTGAAGCAAAAATGGGTGTGGCCTTGTAGTTCTTTTATGTACGAAACAAATATTTTCTTTAACTGTAGGTGTTTTTACTTTCCCATCAACACAACTTCGATTATTTAGCAGGTGAGCTTCGACCCCGACTGTCGAGGCTGACCTGGGCTGAGAGGGATACAACATTCTAGCAGAAAGACCGAAATACTCTAAAAGAATTGTGTCTTCACTCAGGAATTAAACCAGGGTCTCCTGTTTGCCATGGCCAAGCGCTATATCAAAGACGATGGTGAAATTATTACCCCCGAAACGTTTTTGTGCTTGTAGTTCGATAAAATAGATGTTAAACGTGAAGGCACGGGGTTAGCTTAGTTGGTATCGTGCTGGACTACGGAGCGGATGGCCTTGGTTCGAATTTACATTCAAGCGCTCCAAACTTAGGGGGTGGTGGTCGGGAGGGGTGTTCTATGGATTTTTAAGGCCTTCCATCCTTCTGTCTCGATCTTATCGGAGACGGACGTGAAATTCGTATGTCCTGTCTCTTGAATATTCGTACAGCGTTGAAAGGGGCATTGTTGTTGTTGTTGTTGTTGTTGTTGTTGTTGTTGTTGTTGTTGTTGTTGGTGTTGTTGTTGTTGTTGCTGTTGTTATTGTTGTTATCGATCCTGGAAAGGGGCGTTAAACCTGTACAATTTTGCTCTTTTTTTTCATTGAAAGTGGATGCATTTTGTGGCATGTTCCAAACATTCGGCACGAACAGTATGGATTTTGTCCCTGTCCCTTTGCATTCTTGTTTAAAGTATTGTTGTCTTGGTTTGTGAATATGACTGATTAGCCGGTTAACCCGGTAAAGCGTTGTATAATTAGATAGTATTTGTTTCAACGGACAGCCCCTGAAATATTCATAGAGGGAGACACCCTATACAAAGTACATCTGTGTCACTAGCATAACGCAGTTCTGAGATTATACAAAGCTGTAACCTGAGTATTGTATAAATAAAGGCACTAGCAATACATACGGTTTTAGTCGAATAGACAAAGCAAAAAAACAGTGAGAGTTGTAAAAGACAAAGTTACATTTAGCAATTTTAGTTTAGTTTTAGAAAGCGTTTTACGACAACTGGAACACATATAGGTAAAAGAATGTAGGAGGTGTTACCTGAGAGTTGCATACATAGAAAAGGAGGAGAGATAGGAATGACATCATATTTTTATTGGAAAGAAGGAGTAAACCACATCAGAGCACCCGCCAACAATCCACTATATAAAGCAAAACGATATATCAGAAAAGCAGAGATGCCAACAGAAGCAGGAATATTTGGACAAATAAATCGATGTATGAATAATCTGCATGCATAGAAAACAGACCACACTCCGGCAGAAACGAGCAGGAGAAAGAGAGGAATCAGATAAACGGTAATAATGTTTAAAATATTTTTTAAAATGTAATTGTGAATGGTATACTCCACTATCGACCAAATTTAGATTATTGAGGAGGCTAGCCGTTTCCATCCTGTATGTCAAGGTCAACCCGACCTGAAAGTGACAGAACGTTCAAGCAGACTGACAGAGATATTCGATAAAGATTAACCTCCCAACACGGGAAGCCAACTCATGTCTCCTCCATGCGACAGCGACGCACCCATCCGCTACACCACATATTCTGATCAGATGCACTTAACCGAGAAAACAAAAATACATCAAGCAATGAGACAAACCCCACCTCGAGGGCCTACGACACCAAGCCCTCAGGCTATAAAGAAGAAGGCCACGCAAAAGGTGGATTGAGGGCGTCAAGTAAACCCTGAGAAAACATAATATCACAACTGAATGAGCTGCGGAGCTGGCCTACCATAGAAAACTGCATCTCCCCTCGATGCTTAACGGCAACAGAGGATGAAAAAGCAAAAGTAATAGTAAGTACAAACGAGAGGAATACGATACATAGATAAAAATTACAGACATAAAACCACTGACAGACAGAAACGAACTGAGGTGACAAGGATTAAGATTATAGCCTATAAGTTTCCAGAGAGCGAACAATCATATTTTTAACGAATAAAAATAGAATAAGCTTACTCACCATGGAGTCATTGTAAACGAGATCCAGATTGTATCCAGGTATAACCTCGAGGTCGTTGATGTGTGACACGGCCAGCAGAGCGGCGTCCAGTTCCGAGTATCCATTTCCTCCGTATTTCTTTCCATTCAGCTCAAACAGACCTCCGATTTTGAGGGTTTTTCTGCTGACACTTTTCTCATTTTCAGCCCATAACGAATCGTCGAAAAATCCTTTGTAGTCTGGAGGCCATGACGTGGTTTGTTCAAAGCGTTTCACGACTACGCCATAATCCGCTGTGACGCTGCCGTTGTGTTCCTGACCTTTCAACCCCGAGGTGAAATCATTGGCGTCTCTTTCGTAACTAGCTTCATTATTCGTGACGTCTTCGGTGATGTTGATAGACCTTGAAGTTGTAGGTGGGATTATAGTCGACGATGTAGAAAAAGTAGAAAAAGAACCTGAAGCACGAGTAACATTTGGAAGGTCAGGGGATGAGTTTTTGGACCCAGCCTTATCAATAACTGATGATGGAGATCTTCGGTATCTTAGCCTCTGGGCGTCGCGTACAGGAAAAGCGTTTTTCCTCGGTATACGTGACTGTTCTGAGAATTGTGATGATGACAACGACGAAAAATCGAGCTCTGGCTCAAGTTCACCAGACGGAGACAAAAGTCTGAAATGGTGGTACCCCGACGTCTTCCCAGCAGCTGATCTATTGGTCTGAATGCTATTCTGGCGTATGTCGCCAAGTGATAGATTCCCATTCACAATTTCAGACGGGTTGGTGTATGTTGTTTGTGGTGTCGGTGGGGTGTGATTCTGTCGGTGGATGAGTGGTGCCCATTTCAGTGAATGATTCTTGTACTGCTTGGCGCCTTTGTGTTTTCGATGAGGCTGTCTTGAACTGTTCCCACTTTTAGAAGTTAAATCCGGTAATGATCGAAAAGGCCCACCCAAAAATAATGCTTTTAAGTTTCCTGATGCAGTACTAGCATGGATAAAATCCTTCAATGTGTCTAGCTTTCGACTCTTTTTCGGACTGTCTATGGCATAGTTGAACCAATTTATGACGGTTTTGCTTTCAGGTTTTCTACTGTATTTGTCAATAGGAATACTCTTGTCTAGAAACGTGGACACTGAAGATTTTCTAAGGCGATTACTGTTGTCATGATGTGACTGTGATCTAACGTTGGATGAAATAGTAGATGCAATTATAAGTAAACGAATAAAATGTGTACTATTTTTTACGTTAAGGGAACTACCAACATAATTTATTCTGGCGCTACTGTCTAAGCTTTTGTATAGAGTCCCAAGTTTTGTGTTTCTTCTGGTCCAAGTCGTGTTCACATAAGGCACCAGGGCAGTTCTCACGACCCTCACCACACCCTCGTTCCTGAGTCCTCGCAATGAAGGGCAAGAGAGGACGAGAAAGACCAGGGTGAGAAGCAGGCAACCATGCCATGTGGCCATGCCTCAGCCACATCTGGGATCACGTGATGACTGACGTTACAGCTTGTTTGTCTGACTCCCACCGTCCTTATCCGTTAAGCACACAGGTCATGAAGAGTTTACTCCCCTTTATTAATCCGTGAGTCACACAGGTCATGAACAGTTCATAGTTGATTACTAAAGGACTGAAATCAATGTTTGATTTTCATCTACAGTAATGTTTTCTGTATTACATTCTAAAAGGTGGAAGGTCATTGGTCATTGTATAAATTAAACGTGCCTTTCAACAATGTTTGGTTATTCTAGTGGTGCTACCTCCGAAGTGAACGTCCACCTCCGATGTGACCGACCAAAGTCATGTAGAGCCTTTGAAAATCCCAGAAACAACACTAGGCCAGAACGACGTATTGGTAAAAGTGGAGGGGAATGAATGATTAAATAATTAACTGAATATCTTATGTTTTACGCCAATATAGACACAATTTCATCAAAAAATGAATGAGCAGTTGATTTAATTTGTTACGTTTACAAACATGTCAGTGTTTGAGCAAGATTTTCAGGTCATTAGTATATTGTTCTCACTGTTCCCATATAAAGATCTCTTAAGAGTATTTATCCAGTTGCAAAATCTAGTGCATATTCTTAACTGGTTTTTACATGTCTGGAGAGAACTGTTATTGGGAGTAGTTATCGTTTACGTTTATGGGGAAGGCACTTGTCTAACAATAGAAAGCGATTATAGTATAAGTAATTTAATTCTGCATTTGGAGTTTCATCGAAATAACGCTTTTCGGTATTAGCAAAGTCCGTTTCTTAAATGCATTATATGATTATGTTCAATAGTGGTTCTGCGTTCAAAGTTCTGTTTGTGGCTCTGGCTCCTCTAGCTTCAGATCTTGACCGAACTCCTTAGTCAGCTGAAATGTAAAAACGTAACAGTGTTGATTAAAATAATTCATGTGATTTTATGTAAACGTACAAAGTGCAAGTAAGACGAACTATACGACACACATAGACAGAGAGAGGGGGGGGGGAGAGAGAAAGAAAGAGAGAGAGAGAGAGATGGGGAGAGATAGATAGAGAGAGATGGAGAAGAAGAGGGAAAGAGAAAGAGAGAGAGACCACAAAAAGCACGAGTAATGGCAGTAAGACGAGTTGGTTATTCTGAGTAATCTCATTTGCCAAGATTGGACTCTGCATAATTTTCTCAACCCTGCGGGTATAAAAATCTTTGCCGATCCTCTTCTTAAACAGATCAGTAGAAATTTCAGTTAGTACATCATGTTAAAAAAACAGTTTTAAAAAAAAGGCCTCAAATCACCCATTTTTAAGTACCGGCACTAAATGATCATCATAGTTGGATGTTCAGAAATAAAGATAATGAATATACGTGATTTACGCCCCCCATGGACCAAATCCAGATAATTCAGGCGGCGCGTTTCAAAATGTCTGTCGGGGCCAACCAGGGCTGAGAGAACGGAAAAAACCAAGATACTCAATGAAAATCTTCCCCACTCAGGAATCGAACTAAGGTCTCCTGCGTGCGACAGAAAAGCGCCAAGTACTGCTCGACACGCGACGGTTAAATAATAAGACTACAGGGGGAAAACGACGGTAGTCAGAAACTGAAAATTGTGAGGGTACCAAATTTGAACGCCTGTCAACTCATAACTGTATTTCTGTTCAACTGTTGGTTGATTATTGTTGTTAGATTTACCATTCAACAACCCTTAACAATAAAACACCAGTCAAACAAATACGAATTAATGAATTCACAAGCATTTAACATTGGCACCCTCACAATTTCAAGTTTGTGACTACCGTCGTTTTTCCCCTGTGTTCTTCATTATTTTGAAGATAAGGAATCGAAAATACCGTTTGATCAATTATAAGCTTAAGCGTATATCTTTTACAAGGCTAAAGAAATCGATTCTGTTTTTAAAATTTGGTTATTTTTAAAATTTCATAATATTTTTTTTTGGGGGGGTGGCCTTCTAAATCTCCCCCTCGTCTTTATAGCTGTTTATGACATAATGCCAATGATACAAGAGAATTATGATGATATCAGTAATAATATAAGGAGGTGTAGTAATAATGATAATAATACCGATAACCGCAAAATGATTATTGTAGTCATAATAGTGATAATGATGTAGAAAACAAGGATGGCAATCATGTAAAGTGCAGTCAAAAATTCGAGGCGCAACTTTTTGTCAAATTATATTTCCAAAACTTTCGAACATAGACTCTCCATGTTCGCAAAGTGACTTGTATCAATTTGTCTTACCAGATGTATAATTTGTTTTGTGAAAACCTGTTAGCTATATTCTAGAAAATTCCTTTATAAATACTAATAAAAAATCCAAGTGGGTGGTTTCAATAGATTTAAAAAGGTTTACAGCTGGGGCAATACCGCTTTCAGAAGTAAGTCCTTAATGTTTTTGTATTTGCAACATTATATTTATTGAACACATGTTTTGAGAACTTTTAGTGCAAAAAATATGTTCACTATAAAATTCATGTTTTGTTACAAGTTATTCCACTAAAAGGTGCCATTGGTGAGCTGTGATGTAGGCCTAATGCGTATTCAAAAATTGTGTGTTAGAAGCGGATAGTGCTGTGAACAATCTCATTTTTCGTGTCAAGGAGATTTATAGTATTTTATATAAATGTATGAAGAAAATCTTTTAAATCTAACTTAAATCATTTCGGAAAAATATGATTAAGTTAAGACAAACTGATACAAACTTCTGTGAAAAGTATGGGTGACATTGATGTTTGAGGACAAGTTGGGTCACGAATTTTTGACCGAACTATAGGTGCCTTTAAAAGCGGAATGTTGGAAAGGAACTCCTCCTAGATCAATTGCCTTGATCTCTGTCACTCGAAAATAAAAAGACTGCAATTTCGTCGACATTTCATCACATCTTTACAGAGTTCTAAAAATTATCTTGCGAAGTAAGTTTGATAAAGAGAAAATAATCTAAGCCCCAGGCAAAAAGTATAATTCGAGTTTAGTTTTAGTGGAAATTTTACTACATAAGGGCATATTCATATGAGCGCCAGAAGAGTAGAGGTGTTACAAGAGAGTAACAAAAAAAAGGGGGAGATAAGGACGATATATGTTTGAGAGGAAAGAAGAAGTAAACCACACCAGAGCACCCGCCAACCACCCACTTCGACTCTTGTTCACTAATGAACTATCAGCGCGCATCAGAAGGCGAAAAAAAGTAATCTTTTGTGTAAGAACACGTGCGGGTGGCTTTTGGAATTGTTGCACAATGTATGGGTGGGAGGGGGTAGAGAGAGTGAGAGAAGGAAGAGGGCAAGAGGGCAAGAGGGAAGTGGACGAGGAAACGGGGAAGGGGGAGGGGTCAGGGCAGAATGAGAGGGAAATGGAAGGGGAAGGGGAAAGGAAAAGACATGATTTTTTTCTTTTCTTTTGTGGGGGGGGCGGCGACAGAGACTGTGACAGAGAGAGGGGGGGGGTGGAATAGAAATAGAAAACAATGAGAGAAGAAGAAGAAAAAGAGAGAGAGAGAAAGAGAGAGAAAGAGAGAGAGAGAGAGAGAGAGAGAGAGAGAAGAAAGAGAGAGAGAGAGAGAGAGAGAGAGGCGGAGATGTTATTGAAGAGGTTGGTAAGACTAGGTAGGAACAAAGCTCCGAACCAATCCGAATCTCCTTCTTTCAAGTGCTGATCAGATTCATGACCAGCTGTGGCCCAGACCCCAGCATATCGTTGTATCGTATTACAAAGGACACAGAACTAAGATAAAATAAATGGTGTGTTTCGACCAAGCAAAATCGATGCTTCAAATAACTTTACAGAGATCTAAACTTTGGCCAAGTTGCCAGAAATCGTGAGGAGGATCACGTTCAAAGAAGAGGTTTCTTTATTGCACGCGCACATTTGAAAAATTGCATGATTCTGTCCAATTAATGTCATCCTTCTTTGTTTGATTTTTTTTTTATCTCTCATTGAATCGTTTACAATATTATATAGAGGTATGCACACCACCAAACGTTTGGTTGTCGTGATCCATTGAAAGTAACTTACGTGTACATCCCTTCTACAAGAATGTATTTAAATCTGGGTGTCTAATACCTGGGCTGAACAACAACGTCCCTGCAGAAAGTCGAATATACTCGGTAAAAATTCTCGTTACACCGAAACATCACAGACGTCGTCGAAAAACTTACAAGTTTCATACGCACCCCCCGCCGCCCCTAGACACAATTTGAATTATTTAGGGTGCGGACTTTCGACCCTGCATGTCAGGCAGGGTCAACCCCGACTGAGAGGGCAAAAAAACATTCCAACAGTCGACCGAGATGCTCAATACAAATTTTAATGTCTCCTCACACTCCGGAATCGAATTCGAGTCTCCTGAGTGCGACAGCGAAGCGCTTTACCGCCACACCACAGATGCCGGTAGTGAAAGACTTCATGGAAGGAGATGAAATCAAAAGAGGCAGTGCTGAAAGAATTCAGAGTAGGTTGTTCCCTATCAAAAACAGTTCGGTAGTTTGTGGGACATTTAAACAGGAAAAAATAGGCCGTGCTGGGCAAAGAACAACTTACGTAAAGAACTTGAACCGACGGGTGACGGGAGAAAGACTAGGATAATAAAGATTCCTGAGAGCATCCATCTGATCAGAGAAATGAGTGGCGAAACATGATCACCTACGTCTGTTTTAGACCTGGCACTCCATAATGAGAAACTTACACATGCGACTGTTTTGTCATAATTTCCGGCTGTAGACAGTTCCCTATTGAAATGAAATAGATTTCTATAACTTGTGTTCCATTTTTAAATGTGACTTCAAAATAATAAAAATGGAAAAATCTGTATCAATTCTGTCTTTCCAGATTTTTTTTCTGAATTTAATTGTTTTCATTTCTAACGCCACTTTTCACAGGGACGAATGTCGCTTTTGCGCCTTATTAACGGCGTCAAAAATCAGCGTACTTATAGTACAATCCAACTATTTGTAATTTTATACTCCATCGACACATTTAGATTATTTTTTAGGAGGTCTTCTACCCTGCCTGTCATGACGTCGGAGCCAACATGATCTGAAAGAAACACATACCACAGATGATAAGAAGCTCTCAAAAGAAAATTTTAACATTCGTAAACATATTTTAAGAAGCATTATTTTGCTCATCTGCATTTTAGATTGTTATCACGGTCTACGAAGGAGTGTTCATACGTACTCTACTTATTAATGACCTGAGACGGCCCATTTCTATTCGATAAAAGACACTTTAAAACATGTTAAGTGTCAGGATTTTGAACACATTGGGGAATTCTACTAATCCATGCAATTTATATAGTTCAGGTTGTGGGTTTCGACCCCGCCTGCCAATGCTATCCTGAGCTGAGAGGGATACAACAGCCCAGTAGCTGAGCCCGACGACAAAACCCTTCTGCCACACCTCAGGCGCCTGTTCAAAGACTTGCGCAAGTTAATTCCTGTTTCAATCAAAGTTGCAGTTTCGACTCAATGACAAAATTATATCTCAACAATATTTTGGGGTACTGTAAACACTTTTTAAACCGGCGTCTGTGGTGTAGCGGTTAGGCGCTCCGCCAAAGCATGCAGAAAACTAAGACTTGATTCCACTTTGGGTAAAATCTTTATGTATCAATCCTTGTGCTGGGACGTTGTGTCTCTCTCAGCCCCGGTTGGCCCCGACAGGCAGGGAAGAAGCCCATCTCCTAAATGATCTAAATTGTGTGGATGGGGACGTAGAAAATACCTACTTTCAAAAAGAGGCAAAAGGGGAGCAGTTTATACCCTACAATGGCATGTCTCTCTTATGAACATGGCTCTCATGTATTGGGTTAATATAATGGAAATTGTGTTATCAACGACACTGCGTGCGGTTGGAGGGTTCCCTGGTGTGGTTTGCTTCTTTTATCACTATTTACTGACACCCTTTGCCAACCTCCTTCCCTTTATGTTACTCTACCTCAAATCTTCGGCACTTAATATGACATAAAGTGTTGAAAGTGCCTTAAAACCTCTATCAAACCAAACTCGGTACTTCTATGACCTTACGTATAACGAATACTGTAAAATGTTTCTCAAATAAAATAACATTGGTTACTTCTTGAGACGTCAGTATTTTAACTCGTACTTTGCGGCGATGACAGCGCAAACACAAAACCATTTTGATTTTCCTTTGCTAAAGATAACGTGACGTGAATAATATTTGAAGCAAATGATGTGACGAAATTCTCCAGGGACGTACTGGAGATGTTGAAAAAGAGAAACCTATCCTAGCGTTTGGCTTGTTTAAAGTCTCAAGAGGCCGGTTGCCTTCTTACGATTCCGGGCGAGACACGCTACGCATCGCTCCCCCCCCCCCCCCCCCCCCCCAGTAGTTTGACCTTAAAGCCTGCAGCCAAAGAAGTACCTTTAGAGGGCACGAGCTGTTCAGACTTAGTCACTCTCCCATTCAAGAAGTAGGTCTTTCTCTTGGTTTGCGCTGGTGTTTTTTGTTTTGTTTTGTTTGTTTGTTGGTTGGTTGTTGTTTTGTTCTTTGTTTGTTTGTTT